GGGGTCGAGCGCGGGGAGCGTTCACGGGCGCTCACCTGACTTGGCCTTCCCCAGTGCGCGGGCATCCTCTGAGCCGGGGCGGTGGGGCCCCGCGGGGTACCCCCGCTGCGCTACCCCGGTACCGTTCAGCCTTTGCTCCCGCCCACCGTCTCTTATCTTCGCTGTAGTCGCTTGTCGGCTAATCCGCCTTCAGACAAAGCAGCTTTTGTCGGTGGGGCGTAGCTGGGACTCCAGTACAACTTGTACTGACCCCGTCCCGTTACGTAACAGCGATGCGTATTCAAGTGTTGGCTTTGCAAGGTGAATTTCAGGCTGATTTTGTTTACACAGCTTGAGGTTTGGGGATCAACGATGGTCTCCAGAAATAACTTTTTTAATTAGCTATTGCAGTGAAAAGATTGCAGCAAGGAGCGGTGTAAGGATTTTAAGTGAAAGTTGGATTTTCAGAGATGGAAGGGGATGTTCTAAGTGGACCTCACCTTCCCTCTTGTCAGAAGCCCGTCTTGGGGGTGCTCCCTGGCCTGCTCTGCTGCTCTGCTAGTGAGCTGGTGGGGGGCACTGGTGTCCCAGTTCAGCAGTGGAGCCAAAAGACTCCAGGAAACCTGATTTCCAATTTGAAGCCCCCAAAGGGGTTTACAGTTCCTGGGCGTTTGGCCTTCTTTATTCCCTCTTAACTGGGGAAGTCTTCTAGAGATCACACATGCACGTTCAGCTATGTTTTAAAGGTGACAGATACTGTTGTTTCTCTTCTTGCGGTAGATTCAGAAAATTAATAACAAGAAATAGTAAAAGCAAGTATATTTGCACAAACTTTCCCCAAAATGCGGGTGTCTGTGAGCTCGGATCGTAACAATGCTGTGTGTCTTTTGTGAACAGGTGGTATCGCTTTATCCTCGTCCTGGCTGGGTTGAATTAGATCCTGAGGTGCTGTGGAGTCAGTTTGTTGGTGTAATAAAAGAGGCTGTACAAGGTAATGGCTTACAAAGTTTGAGAAGTTAATTATTCATCAAAATTAGTAAAGTTAGTGTCCTGGTTTTGCTGGGTTAAACCACAACAGTTAGCTAATTAGGTAATAAAGTTCTTATTACTTATTTTTTTAAAGTACTGAAAAGTCATTGCGTAAGTACGGGTCTACAACATGCTTTAACGCCTATGTAGGACGCTTCTGTTACTTTTTTTTGTTACAGTGGGTCTAGATTAGGACTGAATTAGAACCAGAAGCGATCTGCATGCTTGATTTACGTGTCAGTGACAGCACTGTGTTGCTCCAGCGTTTTGTGTATGTATCCCTCCCCAGTGTCTGTCTGCCTTCCTCCAGATGCCTTTGTGTACAGAGAGCAGGCTTGTTTCCCCTTCTCATTCCCCACTATTCTGTTGCTGGTTTGTGTGTGTGGATGTGAGCGTATGAGAGAATGATTGCTCACTTGACCACTACCCAATATTCCCGTATTTCCCATTCAAACTACAGACAGTTCTTAGCACTGGATTTCTGTATTATTGTTCTTTCCTATTTGTTATTTAGCTTAAAATTTCCTAGTACTCCATGCACTAAACACGCACAACTGCCTTTTCTGCCAAATTTCTAACGCTTTTTTTTCCTGGATGCTTCTCTAATTGTGCGCTTAATCTCTACAGCTCCCACAGCTTTCCAGTTATACCAGCTGTAGCGTTCTGTGATCCAGCATGGATCCCCTTCTGCGCCATGCACGTGTCACCTGCCCCCCAGCTCGCTTTCTCACAGTGCTCCTGGCTCCGTGTGTGTGTGTGTGTGTGTGCGTGCGTTACGCTCTTTCATTCAGCGCCTGAAGTTCCTCCTGTTCAGCCTCTCCTACAGTTTGGTTTCTAAGTGTTGCTCTGCCTCCAAGTCTGGCTTAAGGCAAAACTGCTCTCATCCCTTCCTTTGGAAGGCAGCCTAGGGGACAGGAAGAGTAACTATTACCAGGTGTAAGCTGCAGCTGGTTATTTTGGGCTGTTGTTCTTCCGCAGCCACAAGTGTTCTGTCACAAGGATAGCAATGCCACCTCAACCCCTGAAGACTTTAGTAGCTTCCTCCACTCCCATTTTGTCAGGCGGATCAGGAAGCAAAATTTTTCAGATGGTTTTAAAAGGGGAAGTTTTTCTTGTGGCCACGCTGTTGGCAAGTCATTTTTAAGTGGTTGTGTAATGTAAGTGAGTATAAGCCCGGACAGCTCTCAAAAGCAGCAGTCCCACCCTCCTTTTTACAGGGTTGTTTTGAGTTGTGGTTTTTTTTGCTAGCAAGAGCTTCATGAGTGCCTGTGCCAATGCAAGAGAGGGTGTGGTACCAGGGGCAGAAGTGGCCCATCTGGCAGTAAAAGGCATAGGAGCACTTCAGATTACAGGGCTTGTGGAGCTAAAACGTGATACCATGTGAATACTTTATGAATTTTGAAAGATCACTGGAGGAATATAATATTTAAAGTGAGACGTCATTATCAAAGTGATGTCAGAAGTCATGAGACATTGACATTAATATCTTGCTGCCTACAGAATCCATCTAGTTTTGTTTCTTTATGAAATTTCTTTCCAGAAGTTTGTAAAAGTCCTTCTGTTTCTGCTTTTGTTCACATTTGTCCATGTGAAATGTGCATTTTAATTGGTTATATAGGCATATGTAAGCTGCCTGTCTTTGGAATCGTTCAAGTCAGGTATCACCAGGCCTTTCAGAAGGTGGAAAGGATCAGTGTGCCACAGCTGCTTTTGTAAAATATGTGGGTTTATTGACCTGCTTTGGGATCAGTTGTATGACTTGGAGTTCTCTGATAATTCACTGATCTAGCCACTTGGTTGGCCAGTCTGTAGAGATTTGTATTCTCTTAAATTACTGATTTCATATGTATTCTGTAGATTTTATAGTTACATTGGAAAATTTGTATCTTTCTTTGTTTCTTCAAGTGTGTGGGTTTTTTGGTTTGTGTTTTAGCTGCGGGACTTCACATGAGGCAAATTGCTGGTCTTGGCATCTCAACGCAGAGAGCAACTTTCATTACCTGGCACAAGTACGTATACTGTGTGCTGTTTAAAATGAATTTGTATTCATTTGTGTGCACAGCAGACTGTAAAAGTGTTGATATCAGTCAAGTCACAACCTAAAGCAACAAATGTCATTCATGTTCTCTTGTGTTTGCACAGCTACACCTTGCAGCAGTTCAGCATGTGTGTCCTTTTTATTTTGTTCCTAGTACTTTGGAAGAGGTGAATAAGTATTTTTTAATTTTGCTGAGACGCCTCATGCTCACTGTCTGTGTGCTTATTGCTGATTTCTCAAATCCACCAGGAGGATAAGCACTTATTTTAGGAATTGACATAGTGTTAAGTGTCCTGACTGGAAGCAATGAATGTTGAACTTCTGGGCAGTGTGTGTTCTGTAGTTTTTTAAATGGGAATGTTCAAATACTGTTTTTCAGGAGGACAGGGGAACCTTTTCATAATTTCATAAGTTGGCAAGACTTAAGAAGTGCTGAACTTGTGAATGCCTGGAATAAGTCTCTTCTGCTGAAGGTAAAACTCTGCTAAGCTGTCTACTGCTTGGACATGCTAGAGCTGTTTCATTTTTGTGAAAAGTAAGGGCAGTTATGAAATACTGCAAGTGTCCTGTTGACATGTTAGTGTGACACACTGTGGCCTAAAATGTTCAACTGAGCAAGATCAGCATGGGCGATAGTACTGAGAGCAAAATGCAGCACTGACAGCCTGAAGGTAAATCATTATGGGAAAAGGTATCTGTAAGTCTAGCACACAGTTCGTTGCTTTTTAGTTTCTGTTGTATTAAAATGTTGCATGTTAACACTGCTACAGTCGTGTCAGCAGCTTTCATCTGTGTTGTCGTCCTTTAAAGATAATTGATTAAAGACAAAGTTAATTGATGAGAAACCTTTAAAGGAAGAGATTAAAAATTAAGTAACTGTTTTCTTTTGAAACAGGTAATCCATGTTATTTTTACAGTGCTTCATTTCTTGACTGGAAGTGATCGTTACTTGGCACCAAGTTTTCTTACTTTTTCAACACAGCACACTTCTATGAAGTTATCATGGGTTTTTAAAAACATACATGAGGTAAGCCGGAAAGAGAAAAATAAGAGTTTTCTTAAGTCATGGTAATGGGTAGTGACTTAGTTTGGTTGTAACCTCTTCAGCTTTGTCTCGTTTGTTCTTTTCCTGAGAAAAACCAGAATGAAAGACTTTTATCTGTGTTAATGTTAAAGTCTGGCTACCTAAGTATCTGCTCATATTTGTACAACTCTTTCCTATTGTTCTGAAAATGTGTAGCAGTAAAAAGTTTTCTTCATGCATAAGTAACATAATCAAATCATCTTATTTCACTTCCTATAATTACACAGTTAGTAATTGTGCTTTGGTTTGAATTAGTTTGCACTCTAGTTTTGCATGACAATTGCATTTTATTTTCAACTGACGCTCTTATCTTTCTGCTCTGTATTATTCCAGTGTTTAGAGTTTCAAAAATAATACCATACTGAACAGTCAAACACTGCAGTTTATTTTGCATTTTGTTGTAGTGTAAAGTGGAAAATACACGTAAATTAAGTGGTGGTGGAATAATGTATGGACTTGTTGCTGTATTTTTTGCTCTAATCCTTACCATTTTTGTTTCTTCCTATTGTATTTGTAACTTTAGTAATCTTATTTTCTGTGTTAATTTTCAAATTATTTTTGAAGAAAATGGTTATCATCCATGTAACAAACAGCAAAGTCTTTTGAGTTTTATCTGCTAACTTACTGTCACAAAACTACTTAGACAGTCCAGTGCAATTTTTTACTGACATGTTTTGATTGGACCTGTTGAAAATGTGAGGTTTAAATTTGGAGGATTATAGAATTGAGAGTTACACAGCTGCTGAGTTTCCAGGTTTAGATTAATGTTCTCTCACATTTTGTCAGGAGTTGATACTTAAAATATGTGACTATCAAACCAAGAAGCTCAAAATTTCATGGCTTTTAATTACAGAAAATGATGTATTCAGTCATGTTTTGAGTGAATTAGTTTGTATGTTCCTTTCTGAATTCTGTAGTTGTACACAGTATCATTTAGAAATTAGGTGAAACTTGAATTTTCCATTTTAAAGGGGGAAAAAAGATCCCAAGATCTTTGAATGCTTTACAGACACCATAAACTAGAATATAATGGCTCTGTCTTCATTGTTCTCAAGCACATATTTTAGGACACATTTATTTCTTATTTCTGTAATTTTTTTTAAGTGCAATTTTTTTCTTTATTCGCCACTGTTATAATTGTGACTATAAAGTTCCTTTCTGGTGTCACTGCAGTAGATTTTCTTTCCTTAGCAGGAACTTTAAGAAACTGTGCTTATTCCCTGAATGGAACATGAACTGTAGGATAATGTTACTTATATAGCCGACTCTTGATTTTTAGAGGTAGTACTGGCAATCAGAGTTGTTTTTTCTGCAGACATTATCATTAACTACAAAAAAAATGAGAAAAGGAATCAGGAAATAGGTTCCTCTCTGTTGTACCCAGTTGTAAATACTTTTTTTGTATGTATATTTGTTCTCAGGCTGAAGAAGCTGCCAAAACCAATAACTGCTGCTTTGGAACAGTTGACACGTGGTTACTGTATAGATTGACTAAAGGTGAATGTTACAGTTTGTCTTAATGAAACATACTGGAATCTAAGTAATGATGTTCATGGCTGTCACTGATAAATCCTAGAATTCAAATACTTAAAAATTTGTGCTTTTTATAGTTGATGAGTATTAAAATATATTTATTGTTTATAAAAAATCCACCAGGCTTCTTAATTAATTGTTCTTTGAGCCTGCCTGGAAGTGTAGTCAGAAAAGGAAATAATTATTCAGTGTAATCAACCTTTTGAGCATTTAAGATTTAAAGAGGACTACAGGAACTAATTGGCCTTGATTGAAGAAAAGTACTTTTGAAAGCAAAAGGGCAAGGAATTGTTACACATGTGGAAGAATTACAAGTTTCTGTCCTGAGGGGGTAATGCCTGAGCAGTTGGGGTTAGACTATGATAGACAGTGATGTAGTCAGTGGTGTACGTGTTCTAAAAAGTTCTGGCTCTTTGCTAGCCATCAGTTCCATGGTGGTAAAACAAGGTAATTAATATATGCATATTATAGTAAGTGACAGGAATATTTGTGTGCTTAATTGTATCTTTATGACTTCGCCACTGAGAGCCGATCATAAACGATCTCTCGTTTGTTTCATGAGAGCCACTGGGATGTTTAAAGCAAAAGTATGTTTAGAGGGACTCTTAAATATTTTATTATCTAAAATCTTTGTTATGTTTTTATGGTAGGTGCTGTGTATGCTACAGATTACTCAAATGCCAGTGCTACAGGCATTTTTGAACCCTTTACGGTATGTGCTGTTCAAAAAAAAATAAAATCTTGTCAATATTTATTGTGCTTCTGAGAGAGCTGCTGACACTTTTACTTCATGTTATTTCAGAAGAGTTGGAACCCCACTTTGTGTCATCTGCTTTCCATTCCAACATCTATTTATCCTCCAGTGAAAGATACAAGGTAATTATGAAGGCACATTCAGAAGAATATGATACCTGTTAAATTAATTGCCTTTAGTAAAATACTTTATATCCTGCACAGGCCGAGTAATACATAGATACACACAAAAAAATTATACGCAGATGTACTTTTTTAACACTACATCTGAAATGCTGTATTTCTTGAAATGACAGTTTTAATGCTTTCTTTAAAATAAATCAGTAGCATTGCCTTTCATCTGTGATGCAGACACAGGCCTTGTATATTTAGTTTTTGTTTTAACAAAAAGGTCAATTTAGTGTTGTGATGTTTCTCCATAATACTTGTTTAAAGCTTCAACTTTGGATCAGCTGACTCTGAAATATTTGGGGTACCGATTCCAATAATGGCAGTGGTGAGTGAAAATGTTTTCTTACTTTTAGCTATATATTTGTATCTATATTCTCTTTATATAGTTTTAGCACTTGCTTGTTTAGTAAATGTTCTCTATTCCTTCTCTGTGACTTAACTACAGTAGAATTAGTTGTTGAATTTTTCTTCAAAAGCTCACTTTATAACCATAGGGGGAAAGGTGGATAGAGGAACAGAAAGGGATTTCTAGAGCCTGACTTCAGTAAGAGTATTTGTTAATAGATCCACTTATGGTACCTTTCTTTCTTTCTTTTTTCCATGGAAAATGAGAATAACGTGTTCTGGCCTCAGTAGTTAGGATTTGAATAAGAAAAATATGTTATTTTTGTAAAATAATGACTTGCAGAAAAATCTGCCTGAATTGAGCTAAGTGGAAAAATGTTCTCTAGCTGACATGAATTTTTCCTGCTATTTTTAAAGAATTGTAGACTGAATTTATCTGTAAGCTTAGTTCCACCAAACATAAGTAAATACATTTAATAACCATCATCACTGTTGAAAAATTGAGCATGGGATAATCTGGTACAGGATGGGTATCAGGGAAGAAGGAAGGTGAGACCTCAGAACTTCAACTTTCTATCTGAGGGAAGAGGAATTCAAGCCAAGCTACTCTGTTCTGCTCCCTGGGATTTCAAATGCCCCAATTTGTCATTGTCAAATACTAAAACATAAAATACTTCTTTTGTTTCCGTAACACATTTTTCAGTGTTGCAAGCAGTATTTTACGGATGCTCATGTTGTGTCCAAACCAGGTGTAATTTGATTCTAGTGACAAATTTGACTGCTGGAGTGGCCTGCAAATATTTAAGAAATTGTGTACGTGTCCTCTCTCACTGCTCAGTTCCTTTGTGCGTGATATTTATATTCAGAACTCTGAAGTGTTTGCACTGATACTTTAAGATCCAGCAGCATTGTAGGCTGGTAGCTGGCAGCTAACTCTCTGTTGGTACGGCAGGTAGCTGACCAGCAGTCAGCCATGTTTGGAGAATGCTGCTTTCACCCAGGAGATGTTAAATTGACGATGGGAACAGGTGGTTTCTGGAATGTGAATACTGGAGAGCATCTCTTTGCATCTCGGGGAGGTAAGCTAGTGAAATTTTAGTTGCAGAGTATTTCATGTTACTTGACAGCAGTTGATGAGGGTACAAAACGGGATAAAACAGAGCTATGCTTTTCCTTCTGTCTTTAGCCGTAGAAAAACAGCCTGAAAGTGTTTTCAGAACAGAAGACTGGAAGTCTTTAATTAGAAATGTAGATCTTGGTTACACAGAAACATGCTTTTCAAGAGGAGAATTTGAGTAACATCACTAATAATTATGTCTGCTACCTGCAGCCCTCTTTTTTTTTTAATTTTTCTTTCCTCCTGCTCTTGATAGCAGTATTATACAGTACAGGAATGGAGGGGATTGTCCTCTGGCTTCTCACATCAAAATGTTCCAGTGGATTGCTGTAAGTTTCTCCTTTTGAGCCCTTATGGTTTGAAGTACCTGCAGTGAGATAATATGGGACTAGCAATTACTAGGGTTTGATTTTCTTTTTTAAATACTAGAAATGGGCTCCTCAGTGTGTTTCTAGTGTTTAAAACTTTGTTGCTGTCATCATTTGTGGTCTAAGTTGTTAAATTGTCATAGATGGTCATTGGCCAAGAAGGCAACAGACCATACTGAAGTAAATTTGCCTGCTCAGTCTCTTTGTCTGTCATACTTTTAAACAGTCATTTCAGGAAGCCTGCAGTTTAAAATGGAAGAGGTGAGGCAAGGGAGGAGGACAGCAGGGCACTACAGAGACTTTTACCAGCTAAATTCTGGAAGGACCTTGGCAATTACACATGTCAGAACTGAATAGGCTGTACATTGAATTCCCTATGTATGCAGGTGCTTTTTAGGCTAATTACTAAATTAGTGATGTCATTATCATGGTGCTTTTACTGAGGAAATCAGATCTGTGTAGTCTGTGGAAATGTAATAGCAAGAACATGTAAGGTTTATTCATTTGTCGGTTTGGGGTTTTTTTGTTTTAAGAAAATATTTGGCTATTGTGATCTGATGGAACTTGAAATCTTTAAGGCAGTACTGTCAAACTTTTACTGCTTTAGGCTGTTATTTATGTTAGAATTATTCTCCCCATGTTCTTTGGCTGTCATTTGATATGGTTAGTAGGACAAGTTAGGTACCGAGTCTTCTCAGCGCCCTGGGCATGAAATGTAATGTGTTCAATCTTTAAAGTTTACATCTGTATTTAAGACTGAAAGATGAATTCTGTGAGAGACACGTGTATATCAACAAAGTCACCTTGAGAAAGCAGAGAGAATTGCTAGACCCTTCTGAAGCTTTTCTGGTGCTGTAGTTACTGGGGCTCATTTACCTTTGTTGAACTACCCAGGATCTCTGAGTCGTGAGCAGAGCCCTGTGAGGTCTGGGTGCTTTCTTCACTCCAACAGTTACCGTACTTGAGTTAAGTTTTTATTGCAGGGGCCACTGAATGCTTAGGTTCTTACCAAGTGACTTGAAGAAACGTTTGTCCAGCTACGGTGCTGGAGAACATCCTCTGTTCAGCTAGATAACAAAGTCTTTTTGCTTTCCTGTTAAAAGCATTACTCTGCGACACTTTTGTTGTATGTTCTTACTAACGCAGATATCAGACAAGAAGGTCTTTGTGTTCACACAGGCTGTTTTAAGTATTGGGTCTCTTTTCTTTTTCAAGCTTTCCACATATCAGTGGAGGGGCAAAGGGGAGAACAAATATTGTGGTTTATCCTCATTATCATCTGTTTATCTCTAATGCAATAGCACGTTCGAGCAGACTGCTCTTTGAAATATGCTGTACTGTTTTTTCAAGTAAACTAACAGTGTTTGTCCTGCATGTTTCTGCTTTTCTTCTGTGAGAAGAGGAAAAAATGTCAAAGTCATTGAAATTTTTTTTGAGTCACTGCAAAGCCAAAAGTATTTGGTGGAAATCATAACTGCACATCCCATCCTGTAAACCATAGAAGTGCTAATCTTCTGTAGTGACAGACAGAGTATGTCACCAAGTGTTTTTAATGAGTATGGGTGTTTCTTTTGTTGTTTATATTAGGCAGAAATACTGGCAAAATGCCGTGGTTAACTGGTAGCTGCCTTTGTTGGGGACAAGGATGGGAAAATTGTGAAACTTTAATTTAGTTTTTGCTTTCTGTGTGAGGAAGCGTTGCATACTGAAAAAGGAATAAAGAAGTATATCACTTTTATTCTCTTCTGTGAATAAGATCTATGTTCTTTGCTGCTTTTTTTGGTGTATATGTCTGTTTTAGTGTTTGTGCTTCCAATCTGAAAGCCCAGCCTTTATATTTTATGATTGGGGGAAGTCAATTCTGACAGTTTAGGAACTGTTGGGGAAAATTAGATGGACTTAAAACAAATAGGAAAACATTGATACATTTTTAAGTATAGACAGTCTCTTATAATGGAAAAAAAAGTGCAGGTAACTCCTCTCTTTAACTTAGAGGGGCTTTTTTGTGCTTTGATAGTGATCTTTTTCAGGTTAACTTTGGCTTAATAAACTGTTGTTTGAGTCTCTTGTAATCCCATCACTACATTGTTAAACAATACACTTAACCTCTGTCAGCAATGTTTTTTTAGCTTGAATTCTGCAAATTAATTGAATAACATTTTTTTTTAGCTGGGTTTATTGTAGTGGGTACTTATATATGCTTTTATGCAAACATTTAACTTACCTAAGTGTTTTGTTTTGTTTCATGGAAAATAATTAAGTTCTGTATCCACTGATTGGTTGGAAGATTGGGGAAGAAGTTGTTTACTTAACTGAAGGCTGTATGTCAGACATTGGCACTGCCATCAAATGGGCTCAGGATATAAGTAAGTAGTTCTTTAATGTTATAGAAGGTAAAATCTATTTCTTAAGAAAAGATATATATATAGATATATATAGATATATATAGATATATACACACTTAAGAAACCGTTTTATGGGGTTATAGTTATGTCACTGGGCTTGGTTTTATTATCTGTAATTGAAGAAACTAGCCTACACATTTTGGACAGTGGACAGTGCAGTCTCATTAGGTTCTCTGCTGAGCGTGTTTACTGCAGGGAGTTTGGTTTGCACAATCATCTCCTCATCAGACTCTGCCTCTCAGACCTTCCTGCACGTGGAGGCTTTTATTTTGCTCCAACATTTTGCTCCTCACTTGCTTTCTCTTAAGCATGACAGTGGTACATATATAAGCTCGCTGCTTCAAATGCCATACTTAAAATGGATCCTTATCTACATGGAACTTCTCCATACTTAAAACTGCATATGCAGAGCAATAGCATAAAGGATTTTTAGCTAGCCACTAGTAAGGGACATGACCTACAGTTTTTAACACAGACAAAAATTGGGGAGGTTTTTAGAGGGACTTGAAAAGATAGGCATGCTGCTATAAACTCTCTAATAAGGGAGATCTTTATTTTCTGGAAATACGATTGTGGAGAAGCAGAATTCAGAAACTTTGGAGTTTTATGAGTAAAGAGAAGGGTAAAACTTTTGCTGTATGGAAAGAATTGGGCCAAAATGCAAAGTAGGCCAATGGCCTTAGTAAGGATAGTGAGGCTCAACGTGGATGAAGATGTAATAGTGGTAAAGTTACATGATAGAAGATACATATTATATATGTAGCAGTAAAGGTTTGGGAACAGGAATTTCTGCAGCAAAACAGACCTAGTTTAATGAGCTGCTTCTAGTGGGATCATATAACTTATAAAAATTTGGATAAAGTAGTATGTGGAATTTCAAGGTGAAGTCAGTCTTACTTAATGTTTTTCGTTTTCTGTCCTGACATGGAGGCTCAGTAAGAGCAAATACAAGAAGGAAAAGGTGTGATTTAGGCTTATTAGTTTGGGCACAGTAGAATCCAAAGCTGTCAAATGTATTTATGAAGGTTACAAAGGTAAATTAAAACTCCTGGTAAGTTACCAAGATGGGTTTTTAAAAGATAAATTGAGCTAGATTCACCTAGTTTATCTTTGATAGGAGAATTTACTTTCTAGACAAGAAAAAGCAATAACTCATTTATAGGAGACCTCTGGTCATCTGTAAAAGATGTCATGTGGCCACATAAGGACATTATTAGTGAAAACTACATAAGATGGGTGTTGGTACAAGAATTGCACGTGGGTGAAGAACAAGCTAAAGAGGGATGTCTGTAGAGCTGTGAAAGGAGACATCTGGCTTGACAGAATAAAAGCAGTGCCTATCAAGGAGGTGATATTAGGACCTACCTTACTTCCATTTGTGTCAGTCACTCGTAAAAATATTAAAGGTGCTGATAAAATCTAATGGGTATTAAGGACTTTCTTGGTAGTCATTTGGTGCTTGGGCTGACAACAACATCTTTGAGGGGAAAGAACATGTTTTATGTTTTGCAAATCTAGGTTTTTAGCATACTTGTGCCATTGTTAGCATTCTCAATTCCTATTTATGTCTGTTTGGAAAGCTAATGACCTCTTGCAGGATGTGAAGATTAAAAGGCTATAGAAAAACAGATTAGAGAGGATCCTTTTGAATTTAATCTTCATCTGAACGGGATTTTTTTGTTATGTGACTGATCGACATGGAATACATGAGAATCGGTCGTTTTCATTAGAACGTGTGGTTTGAGAATATTACGAAAGGAAACTGACTCTAGATTTTTATCTCTTAATAGATGAAGTAATTGAAATAAATAATAAAAGCATATGACTTATGCATCTTTACAGATCTTTTCACCAATGTAGATGAAACAGAAAAAATGGCTCGGAGTATTGTTGATTCTCAAGGCGTTTGTTTTGTTCCAGGTTCTCAGGTAAAATTATTAATATAAATGAGGATATGTTTTTAATAACCCAGTTAAAATTTTAATTTTTACATGTTGAAATGTAGTAATTTACATCTTATTACAGTATTTATTCTCTGCTTCTCAGGTTATTACTGTTTCCTTCACTACAGCATATAAGGATCATTGTCATAGCAGAAGGCATAAACACCTCTCCTCCTTCTTCCCCAAGAAAAACCCTGTGAAATAGGAAAATTGCATCCCTTTTGCAGATGGGGACCTGGGGGACAGATAAACTTAAGTGACTTGCCCACAGTAACTCAGGCAGTGTCTGCAGAGCCAGAAACCAATCCTATAGCTTTTCTGCCTCATGCAGAGCCTTCGTTGGAACAATACTTCTAAGCACTGTTCTAGAAGAATTAATTTTATGGTGCCTTTTTTCAAGATGTAGGTTGCAATTCATCAGAATACTAAAATGTACTTAAATACGAGCAAAATTGCCAGTTCTAGTGTTAGGGAAAGCAAAGATATTAATATTTAGACACTTCTTTGATACCCAGCTTTTAATCTGAATTAGATTTTTTTTCCCCTTTAAAATAAGATTTTAAGACCTTATTATAAGATGTGCCTTGTTGCTGAGCACAGTGTGTATAGTAAGGAGTTCATGGCATTTGTTGTCCACTTTGTCCCTTCAGTTTCCCAATAGCTTGCTTTTACTTTTGTCTCTATTTGAGGAACTGCCTGCAATGACTGCATTCCCTCTGGGTCACAAGCTCTGTGTTCTTTCTGCTTGCTTCCCATTTATGCTACAGACTTGCGTATCCTCATGTCTGTGCTTTCCGCTTCTGATTCCTGATCCTTCTTGAGTTTCATTACAGATGTGAGTTACTGATCCTATGTAGAGGCAGCAGCAAAGGTGATACTGATGCTGCACTTCAGTCTGGCATATTAGTCTAGATCGGAATTGATGGAAATTTCAGTAAATACATCACATTAAATGACAAATAGTGATAGCTGGGGAGCTGACATACTGCTTATTCAGCTGCAGAGCAGTTGCTTCCAGTATGGGTTTGACAGTTGGTAATAATAGTTTGTAATTTGTCACCACAATATATGACTGCTCTGCAAGTCAAGAGCTTTTAGACAAACCTTCATACAGAATGAAAATAAACAGGTTTTGGTAATGTAGCCATTGCTAGGTTAGAGACTGCAGAGTGCCAAAACTCCTTAATCTAGTTATGCCACTTTCCTAAACAAAATGAGGTCATCTGACTAAAAGCACGCTTTCAGCAGTGTAGCTGTTTCCACGCTGTGGGTTTGTCAACATTAAAATACCCATGCCTCCACAAGACTTTGTTTTTCCAGTGTTGCTGTCCAGGAGAAACTCAGTGCTGCAGCCCTGACCCCCACGTTGTGATGTGGAATATTAGCGTTATAAACTGCTTTGGATGAGTGGACCAGGCAAGAGGAAGGGAAGGCTGTGGCTGTGCTGGGGATTGAGTGATGTCTGCCATCAGCTGGTTCTTTGATGTGCAGACAAATGATGTTTGAATGTTTCAGGTGTTCAAACAGGGAAAACCCATTAAGATGGA